CTACACTGAAGACATTTAGTCATGAGTGATTCTCCTGGAGGACAGGCCGGGTCACACTGCGCCACCTCCACAGTGCCTCCGTCTTACCCCCATCACATTTCCCTTGCAAACATGAGGCAGCTTCCTCCAGTTCAGTGGAACCTAGGGGCTTGTTCCTGCCTCTGCTTATGTGTCCTGTCCTTTCATTTTCAGCTCAGTGCACCTCACAGCTGTTGGCCTTTCTGCCATTAACTCAGTAGGGTAGGACACCCTCTGGCATTAAAGCCTCGTCCCTTATTTCAGAACACTACTTAACTTTACGTGTCAGAAAGGGCAATGCCCTGCTCCTCTTCCTTCCTTTCCTACATATCACTACTCCAAGGGAGTCTACCTTCCTATCCTAAACTGTTGACTCAAAGCCTCATGCCCTGGACCGGCATATCCAGTAATCTCACAGTCTTCCCCAGCTCTGAAGTCCCTCCTCATCACCACGACCACCTGGGGCCTAGGCAACTACCACCTTCTTCTGTACTTTCTGACTCCTAGCTGGAAAGATGCCCATCCTTCCCTACCATAGGCACCATTCATGGTGAGAAGGGAAATTGTGATTTATCCTCCCATGCATCACACATGTGGACCAGACTATAACTGAACTCACAAGTATATAGTGTGTGAAAGGATGATTCTTCAGGGCATCTGTCAGGATAGTTGATAAAAGCCAGTTCATTTTAGAAGACTGTCGAGCAGAGCTGCAAACAGGAGCCTCACTGATAACATCTGGAGTGTGGATGGGGTGCCTGGCACAGCTGCTGCCACACACCCAATAGAGCACTTGGCAGGGTGCCTTGACCTTTTTTCTGATCCCTCAGGTTGTCCTTCCCCATATTATTCACTGTGGCGCTCCCTCTCTCTACCCCTCTCTTGCCTTGACAAGGTCTTGTTCCCGCATATACTGGAGCGGTCCAGGACCCAGGTGTTCACTTTTGCTCCTTTGTCCTTGCAAATTGAAACTGCAGCTTCCCCACTGATTTCTTGGAAACACCTTTTCAGCCTTCTGGGTTACTCAATCAAGGCCTCATTGTTTGCTGTCTCATCTCCACAGAGCTGAAGGCTGAAAGAAGTTGCATCAATGTTACTACTGAGCATGCTCTTCAGCTCACCCTCTTCCATAGGCCCCCTGTCCTGACTGCCCCCCATCCCCATCCCTCCCCACCCCCCAGTCACTCATCTCACAGCCACTGGGAATTCTCCCTTTCTCTGCTCTTCATCCACTGAAGAAAGTGTCGCCTTGCAGTTCTTCAACAGTGTCGTGGGAGGTTTGGACCCTCAGGGAGATGAGCCTAGCCCCTTGAAGGCCTCCCCCCACACCCCGGCAATGCAGGTCATCCAAGCCTTGGTTTCCACAATGAAGCTGGGCAGTGCCTCCTGCTGAATCTGTTGCGATTCCAGCTGCTATGTCTGGTACAGTGCAGCTGGAGGCTTATTCCTGTTCTTTCCCCCCATGTAGGGATTCTCCTGCTCTGGGGACTTTTTGAAGCTTCTAGGCATGTACACAGGGATAGTCGCATTGGATCTTTAGGCCCAAGAGAGCCATCACAGACTCAGGCAGGCATCAGATGGACATAAATTACATCTAGCCCTGAGCTAGCTGGGACTTCTGTACTTGTCCATTGATCACCATGGCCTGGCAGGGACAAAATGTGACATTCTTCTGGCACGCATGAAGTGTTTAAGAAAATCTCTGGTACAGCCTCTCCTACTTCCTACGTGACTTTCCTAACTGGGGCTGAATGACTGCTTAGAGGAACCTCTGCTCAAGGCAAGGAGGAGACCTAGTGGATCTCCCTTGTGTGCGGTTGATGGCAGAGGGCTGAACCTTCATTTTTCCCTTGAAGGAAGAGACTCCGTGAGTGTGCACTGGCCAGCCATAACAGATGCAGGCCTAGAGAAAGGAGCTCTGGGAGTGTGGAGAAAGACTTAGGATTGTGTCAAGTTTGTCACTTCAGTGGATCTGGCCCTGAAAGCCTCTTGCTGACCTCCCTTGGATTCCCTGGCTGCCCACCTCTTGGTGTAGACTTGATGTCACCTGTACCTCCAGAGGTAAGTGACAACCTTGTATTTGTCTGTCAGGCTTCTCTGGCACTTCCTGAATCATAGAAGATGGTCATCATATGTGCTGGGACCTGCTGAAGCTTGCTTCATGGGCTCTGCTTCCTGTTTCAGCCTCCTTAGCCTGCACACTGCTGGCTGTGCCTTTGGGCTTTGCATACAATCATTTGCCACCCTGCCCTGCACCCTGCAGCTGGGCCTTGTCCTCAGCCACCAGCCAGATGAAACTGTGATGGAGAAGGGCAGAAAGTACACGGGTCTCTGTGGTTTGTGTTGCATGCCTGGGTCAGCCACCTGTCCTTCATGTTCCCTAGAACGAGACTGCAGTGTGTTTTCTTAGTCTTCTCCTTGTGGTAAATGTGGTCAGCTCTAGAGCCTGAGATCTCTCCTGAGTGTCCTCAGCCAGGTAGTTAAGGAGCATGGTGAGGAGGCGCCTATATCTCCACATCTGTAGTTCCCACATCACCTCAAAGGGTAGTGAAATGGCAACATTACCTTGACCCTAAAAAAACAATACACAGGGCACACCCATGCACACATGCGCGCGTGTGCAAACACTGAGCCAGTTGAGCACTGTGCAGCACCTGAGAAACTTTAAGTTTCCTAGTTTCAAGTTCAGTCTTCTCTCAGGTTCCCCCAACATGCTGAATGCCAGCTGTTTCAGAGTCCTGGTCCCCAGTGTCCCAGGGTCACCACAGGTATTGATGATTTTATTACCACTGCTGTGACAGCCAGCTGTGGGGCACTGGCTCTCCTCCCCCCTCCTTCTTTTTTACCCTCTACTTCCCCCAACAGCACCTGAGTAGTTCATTGAGGAATTTCTTATTCCCTAACTTTCTATGTTGCCTTCAGTGACTCCAAATTTACTCCCACACCTCAATATTACCTTGAGAACTCAGACTGATATAACCTTAAGTATTTTCTCGTTGTCTCCTCCCTGTCACTTTGTGTGTCCCCACACCTACCTATTTCTCCTGCTATCTGTCTCTCATAATAATTCCCACGTATTTATTATTTTTATAGTACTCTGGAATGTTTTCAAGTCTTTGCCAATGGCTTTTCTCTCAAAGTGTGTTAAGAGTCCAGTGAAACTCCTATAGCAGAGACTCTATTATGATGACCTTTTCCAAGCTTGTCTACATTCTCCAAGTGTTTCTTGGTTTTTCCCACATCCTATAATGCCCTCCTTTCCTGTTCCAGTCCCCCTAGCCTGTCTACCTTCTCCTTACTTTTCTATGCTCATTTCTCACCAACACTTACTGCATTTCCACCTTCTCCCCTCCCAAACAGTCTAGAAGTTTCTTGGAAAGTAGGTATTGTCTGTTAAGGACTGTCCCTAAAATCAAAATTTGATCTTAACCGGTGGACAATAAATGAAGAAAACATACCATTTACTATGCTTTTATTTATGCTATTTGCGCAGTGAGCATATCCACAGACGGACTTCATTACAAGACATCAGACACAAAGTTAAGACAGAATGAGTCTGTTATTTTCCCTCACTCACAATGTACTAGTTATTCCAAACTTTCAAAGAACAGCCCCTCACCGTGGTACAAATCCTGTACATCCCACATGACAAATGGCCTTCATTCAATAAGGTAGCACAGCTGTTGTAGCAAATGTCAATGACGGGAGAAATAACATAAACATCTTCTCAATTATATATTTAAACATATTGTGACTCTTAATCAACAGTGTTATAAAACGAATACAAGATTACAATATCTAAAGCAAACACTATTTTGCAATTTAACAATTAGCACTGATCACAAATACCAAATACAGTGCCCTCCCCACCCTCCACATCATTTTGATTTCAGGACCCTGCCTATCTACTCCACGGAGTACTTTGGATTCTCTTTTCCACTCCTAAGTGTCTGCCTGGGATCTATGGAGTGGAATAACCCCTAGCACCTGAATTGAGTATAGCCTCAACCTCTGCATCATCATCCGAATCCCAGTCATAGTTACATGGCCAGTCTTTGGAGCACCGGTTCCGAACTCTTGCCACAAAATGCATGACTTTCAGTTTGCTGGATTCCACGTGTGCTCGAGGGCCCCAGAAGAACTCGTACTCCACCGGACTGCTGCGGGGCACTGGCTTATAAAGCAGATACCCTCTGCGAACAAACTCTTCCGTTACGACCTTCTTCGGATCTCCAAAGATGCTGTGCTGCCTCCCAGGCTGCATCCCTAACTTCCCCAGCACTTTCCACACCAGGGCCTCCTTGGCACTGTTGCCCATGATGAAGATGAGGGCTAATATGGACATTAGGAGACTTTTCTTGGTGCCCTGAAAACTGCTCCGCTTAACAGGCTTTTGCACTGGGGCAGTGCTTGAAGCTTCTTCAGGAGTGGAGGCCTTCTCCGGAGTGCTTGTGTCTTCTTCAGGGCCGCTCAGGTAGTCTTCGGGTGTGCTGGGGACCACAGAAGCCGCCATCGGGGTCTTAGAGGCCTCTGAGGCCTGGATCTTGCGATTGTTGCGATTCTCTTCTGCTGCCTTTGCGTTCCGGCGGCGCCGACTCTTCCGTCCCCGAGGCATGGCTCTGGCCAAGCACTCACAGCCCGCAGCAGTTCTAGAGAACGATCGCTACAGCGTCCGAGTAAAGCGGCGAGCCTCCACAGGGAGAGCCGCCAAAGCGCAAACGCCAGGGGAGTCTTTGTAGCAAGGAAGCGGTCTTTCGGCCACAAAGCCCTTTCCCTGGCTATCAGACTTGCGCAAGCAGTCGCCGCCCGCACTCGCCACAGCGCCAAGCGCGCGAGAAACCGGAGCAGCATTAGCCCCGCCTCTCCTGCCACGCACACGCCAAGCACCCAAGAGGAAGTGGGACGCTCCCGCACAGGAACTTCCGCTAGCCCAAAGGAAAAGGAGCGGGCTGCATTTTGGGTCCCCCCAAGGGTAGATAAGACAGCTAAGGGTTGGCGGGGATTTGTCCTGTGCGCAGGAGAGAAGAATCTCGGTATTCTTTAGGCAGGTGCACACGTTATCCTATTGGTTCATTGGTTTTGGCAAGCAATAGGCCCTTCCATTCTCACCAAAGGCGCCGGACTGAGGGGGTGTGGGAGGGGGGCGGCGGAGCATAGTCTTGCAAGGGGTCAGCTGACCCTAGCCCTCCTTGGCTGTCCTGGCTTACGCAGCACATTCATTCTTCCGCCCGGTTTTCAGAAGGCGTTTGTGTGTGGCTAATTAATTCGTGGGCCCATGAGGGAGCTGAATAATAGACTTAATGACCAAAGCGGTGGGTGAGGGGAGGAGATGGGCGTGCAAAGCCAGCTAGCAGTGCTCAAGAGGTGCAGAGCCTGTACAGGGCTACGTGTTGGCCTGGGCAATTAAGCGGGGCGGTGAGAAGATCAGACTTAGATTTGCGCAGCCTCACAGAGGGGCAGAATACTTCCTGGCAGGCCACAGAGGAAGCAATTAGAATAAGAAGCAGCTGGATGAAAGTGAGCTTTAAGGCTGTTGCCATGGGGACTGAGAGACAGAAAGGCATTTGAAGGGAGACCACTGGCAGGCTTCAGACAATGGGTGGGAATGGGGAGCAGGGAGATGGTAGAGTGCAGTTGGAGCTTAGGTTTCTAGGCCAGCGAGCCAGCAGGCATGCCTTGCCCTGTCTCCCCCGTGCACACTCTGACCTTTGTCCACTCCTTCTCTCTGCTCAGATTCCTCTGCCTGAATGTCTTCCCTCCATTTTGCACTAGCTAAGCTCCACCTGCTTGCTCACGGGCATCTTCCTTGTTTAAGTTTATTTTGACCTTCCCCAAAGAATAATGAGTCGGTCCTTACTCCCCCAAGGAAGGCCCCATAGTTAGGCATTCTGCTTTTCTTGTGTCATTTGAAGCGTGAACTTGCTCAGAGCCTGGCTCCCCACCCCCACCCCCTTAAAGTGGATGGATGTAACTCAAGTACTGGCTTCAAAGGGTTGTGTGAATTCAGTGAAAAGCCTTCACTGCATAGTGTAGGACAGGCTTTGCCTCTAAGTGTGTTTCAAGCAGCAGCAGCAGGTGAGAGTGGCATTTAATAAATGCATGTTGGAGGATTATGTGATGGAAAAGCTTTTACATGTGTTCCTTTTTAAGATGTGTTTTAATTTGCGTGCATGCGTACGCGCATGCATGCCACGTGTGCTGTACACGAGGGGCTAGCAGAGGGCGTGGGATCCCCTGGAACTGAGTTACAGGTGGTTGCGATCTGCCTGATGTGGGTGCTGGCAAGGAAACTTGGTTCCTCTGGAAGAGCAGCAAGTGCTCCTAGCTGCTGAGCCATTGCTCCAGCCCCTCACGTGAGCTCTTATGTCTTAAGAGGCAAAAGGGTACTTTGTACTTGTTTGGCTAGAAGGGATGAACGTAAGCTTGAGAGAGTCTCAGTTTGTAATCCTACTGGGGAAATGAGCCTGTGGGGCTCATAGACTTTGACATCTCCCAGCTTTTTGGTGGAGTCTGTGGAATCGGATATGGCTTTATCTAGTGAGTGAACTCGGTGTGGCGCACAGTGTGTCTGTGGCAACAGCATTGCCAGCAGAAGCTCACCTAGTGAGGCCGAGACTCCTGTATGTGTGTGTGTGTGTGTGTGTGTGTGTGTGTGTGTGTGTAGCAAGGAGATGGCTGCTGGCGAGAAACGGTCACTGAAATCAGAGCTGGGCACATGAATTTGTAGCCGGTTTGTATCGGTTCGAGGCCCTTGATAAGTTTACTGAATATCCTAATCCTCTGACTTGTTCTGTAGAGAAAAAGCTGATCTCTCTGGCATTGTCTGTCCAGTTTGCTGTCAGTCTCTGTGGAAGTTAACATTTCACACTAGTCATTTTTGAGTTTTGCCTTTTACTTTGTTTTATTTTTGTGATAATAATATAATTATATTTCTCCCTTCCTTTCCCTCTGTCCAAACTGTCTCATATGTCCTTCCAATTCGGGACTCTTTTTTCACTAGTTGTTATTGCATGCATATATGTATATTGATAGTAGGTATATATTTCTAAATAGGACCTGTTCATTCTCTATAATGTTACTTGTATGTATATTTTCAGAGTTGACTATTTGGCACTGGGCAACCAGTTGGTGGGCTCTTCCCTGTGGAATATGATTTCTTCTGCTCTTAGCTTTTCTTAGTTGCTTGTAGTTCTTTGTGTAGGGTTGAGATTTCATGGATTTTTTTTTTCCCAGTGCAGTTTGCCATGTTCATTGGTGTCATCCTTTTTCAGTGTCTGGGGTGTCATGTTGGTGAGGCTTTATGGGTGCGGCTTCTGATATTACTAAGAGACACAATCTCACAGCAAATTCCTTGATCCTTTGACTTTTACAATCTTTATGTCCTCATCTTCCCTATGCTCCCTGTACCATTACAGAAGGTCCCCCTTGACTCAGGATGTATTTATTATATATTTATTTATTTATTACCATATTTGTGATTCTGTATATAGACTGAAATTTTGGGTAATTTCTTTCTAATTTTGACGGTATATACGAGAATGTAGTTCCCCAAATTTACTCTTACTGGAGTTTCCTTTTATAAGCAAAGTTCACTGATACTTCCTATTTGGTAAAGCAATTTCAGGTATATTTAATGATGCACTCCCTTCTGCCACACCAGTGAAATGAGGAGCGGGTACCATTTCCCCCGTCTTTACTTAAATGAACCATTGTTTCTCTCCACAAGGACAATGTAACTTTGCTCAGCACAATAGATAGAGCGGACAAATAATGTACAGCCTAGGGCCTCAACTGCCAGCTAGTTTTCCCAGAGAAGTAAGTGGGAACAGGGCTTAGGCTCTAGGGATTTTTTGCAAAGCCACAAAAACTGATTGCCATATTGCTTCCCAGTTATTTATCTAGAGAAAACAGTCATATACAGGTTATAAAGGCATGGACTCTAAATGGCGATTTCTTGGCCTCAGTTCCAGATTCTACCATATATGAGATTAAAATCCTTGGGACGCTGTTGAACCACTGCTATCTATGAAATCATGGAGACTATACTTGTCAGGTAATTTCCTTTGGGAGGGATTAAATTAGTTGTTATAAAGTAGTCCAGAATTAAATATTAGTGACGATACTCTAGGTCAGAAATTTTATTTTTGCAAGAGCCATAGTTACATAACATCTATATGTGTTAGGCATTGATCCAAAGTCATTGGAGGTTTGAGAGCAAGTCCACAGCTTGTTAGTGAACACAGTTTAAAAGCTTAGCATTTTAAAAAGTTTTGTGTAAAGGATGCTGGCTCTGATTAGCAGAACCATAGATGATGCATCCAGGCATGAAGTAGGACATATCAGATTAATTTGGTGTAATCAGGAAGAGTATATCCAAATAAATGAGTCAACATTGCATTGAAACCTTAATGCTTAGTGGGCGTTATGCAATGGAAAAGGAAAAAGGTTGCATACAAATAGATGTTTGCAGAGCTGAAAGCCAAAATGAACAGACTCCTAGTGGTTTCAGTGATTGGAAACTATTCTGTCTATGGGCCAAATTTTAGTTCCTTTATCAGTGTGATATGAGGATCGTGAGGCACACAAGAGTTTTTAGTTTCTAATACTATATATACTGTATAGTCACATCATAATTTATTATACTATAACCCACTGCTTAAACGCATTTGCTTGCTTTTAAAAGCAACAGTCCGTACACATTTATGCACTTATCTACTTATTTGTATTTCTAGTCCCAGAATTAGTGGTTTGGATGGTTTTGTACATGTAAATCATGGTACAAATATCCAGGCTTAATTCCTTGAATAGTTGTGTCCTTTCTTAGTAAGCATTACCAGCAGTGAATGGATAGTATGTTTTTCACCACATCTTTGCCTTCCCTAAACATTAAATGTATATATAATACATTAGCAATCTCATGGGTAAGCTAGAACATCTTCTTGTTATTTTATATGCAATTAGCATAAATAAAGTACACATACTAAAATTGCACAATTTTATGCATTTTAACTTATGCATGTAACTGTTACTAGAGTTAAGATAATCATTGCATTCTTTTAGAATATTTTTATTACATTTGTTTAGTGGGGGTGCACACATGTTGCAGCATGCTAATGGAGGCCAAAGAACATCCCTCAGGAATGGTTTTTTTCCCTCCACTATGAGGGACAACGGGGATTGAACTCTGGTTCCCAGGCTTGGAAGCAAGCATCTTTATTCAACCTGCTGAACCATCTCAGCAGCCCAATCGTTATATAGTTCATCATCGAATTTCTTCATGCTTTGTTATAACTGTATCCCTTGTTGCTTTTCTCCACCCTTCCTCCATCCTAGGCACAGTTACCAGCTTTCTATCACAAGAGATTACATTACATTTCCTGTCATTTATGGAAATAAATTCAAACAGTAAGTGCTTTCCTAGCTTTTAGAATTTTTAAATTGTCTTGATTTATCATGCAAAGTAATGGGGTTCATAGTTTCATTGGCATAGCTTTATAAATATATGCCATTTTATTTTGTTCTTTTTTCTTTTAATATTTCAATTGTTTTTAAATTTCTGATATTATAGTATTATTATGTTTCTCCCTTCCCTTTCCTCCCATATACCACTCCCTCCATACCCTCCCATATACCACTCCCTGCTTGTCTTTGAATCCATAGCCTCTTTTTTCACTAATTATTATTGCACGCCCCCCACTCCGTTACCCACTGCTTTCCTCACTCTTGCTTTCCACTCCGTCCTCCTGAAATACTTCTTCCTCCTTTTGTGCTATATATTGTCCCCTCTTGTTCCATACTCATCCCTCCCTTTATACACCTTTCTCCTCATAATCCTCTCTCTACTTTCATTTGTGTATATATATATATATATGTATGTATGTATGTATATATTGCATAGACATTTAAATTTAGGTTTTGCATATGACAGAAAACTAAAGTGGTATTTATTTTTCTTTTTCTTATTTTGTTTAACCTGATGATCTTCAGTTTCAACCATTTTCTTGAAAATATCATTTTATTCTTCTTTATGGCTGAGTAAAATTCCATTGTGTGTGTGTGTGTAGTAGTAGTAGTAGTAGTAGTAGTAGTAGTAGTAGTAGTAGTAAATTTTCTTTATCTGCTCCTCTCCTGGTGCATATCAAACAACAATAAGTAATGAAATAAGCAATAAATATGTGCGAGTATATCTGTGGCAGGACGTAGAGTCCTTAAGGTTCAGGAGGACTAATTTGATTCTTTTGGGGAACCTGCATACTGCTTTGCAAAGTATCTACATCACTTTATACCTCCACCAGGGTTTCTTCCACTTTTTTCACAATCTCATCATACGTATTTCTTCCTTTGGCCAATAAATAGGGATTTACAAAAAACAAACAAACAAAAAACCCCAAAACAAGACTTAGTCTTGCTAAGTAGTCCTGGCTTTGAAGGGGTGCTCTTTCTGTCTCAGACTCCAAACTGCTGAGATTAAAGGCATTAACTACCACACCCAGACTGATAATAAGTCTTTTTTCCTTGTTTGAATGATTTCACTCATCATTTTTCTTTTGTTTTTGTCCTGAATGACACATCAATATACAGATGAGGTACACTTTGATTAAGCAGCCGCCCGTGCATAAACATTTTAACTATTTGCAGTTTGGCACTGTAATAAAAACCAAGTGACAAGGGCACCAGCATGCTTTTACTTTTAAATAAACAAAATATTTTTCTTTTTAATTTATTAATTTTATTAATGTATTTTGTTCTTTGACAATTGTGAATGTCTCTTTATCTTATTTATTATTACTAGTGTGTGTTGTGTGTATGATTTGTATAGGCACACTCATACCATGGCACACATGAGGAGGTCAGGGAACAATTTGTGCAGTCAGTTCTCTTCTTCTGCCTTTATGTGGGCTCTAGGGATCAAACTAGGGTTATCAGACTTTCACAGCTAGTGTTTTTATTCACTGAACCATCTTTCTGGCCCTTTTTAAATTAAAAGTGTAAGTTAGTATACAGCATGATGGGTTCATTATGGCATTTTCATACATACTTTTTTTATCCACCTCCTTCTCCTAATGCTTTTGCAGTCCTGCCACTTCCCTCTGACTAGTTCCCTTTCTTTCCTCTTAGTTTTAACCCCTTACTTTTAAGCCATGTAAATTCCATTACCTTTTCTTTTTCCTTCTTCTTCCCTCCCTTAAAATATCTTCTTCCAGTCAAATGTGGTGATACATTGGAATTCCAGCCCTTAAGAGAGGAAGGCAGGAAGATCACAAGTTCAAGGCCAGCATGGGCTTCATGAAAACCTCAAAAACAAAACAAAGACCCATGAGATGCCTCTGTTAAGAAAGGGTCTTTTTTTATTATTTAAATTTATTTATTTATTAAGGATTTCTGCCTCGTCCCCGCAACCGCTTCCCATTTCCCTCCCCCTCCCCCGATCAAGTCCCCCTCCCTCATCTGCTCGAAGAGCAATCAGGGTTCCCTGACCTGTGGGAAGCCCAAGGACTGCCCACCTCTATCCAGGTCTCGTAAGGTGAGCATCCAAACTGCCTAGGCTCCCACAAAGCCAGTAAGTGCAGTAGGATCAAAAACCCACTGCAATTGTTCTTGAATTCTCAGTATTCCTCATTGTCCGCTATGTTCAGCTAGTCCGGATTTATCCCATGCTTTTTCAGACCTAGGCCAGCTGGCCTTGGTGAGATCCCAATAGAACATCCCCATTGTCTTAGTGTGTGGGTGCACCCCTCGTGGTCCTGAGTTCCTTGCTCGTGCTCCGTCTCCTTCTGCTCCTGATTTGGACCTTGAGATTTCTGTCCGGTGCTCCCATGTGGGTCTCTGTCTCTGTCTCCTTTCATCGCCTTCAACGGAAGAATGGATGAAGAAAGTATGGAATATATACATATTAGAGTATTACTCAGCAGTAAAAAACAAGGACTTCTTGAATTTTGCATACAAATGGATGGAAATAGAAAACACTATCCTGAGTGAGGTAAGCCAGACCCAAAAAGAGGAACATGGGATGTACTCACTCATATTTGGTTTCTAGCCATAAATAAAGGACATTGAGCATATAATTCATGTTCCTAGAGAAGCTAAATAAGAAGGTGAATCCAAAGACAAACACATAGGCATCCTCATGAATATTAACCTTCATCAGGCAATGGAAGAAAGGGTCTTGAGGCCAAGCCTGACAGTCTGGGACTCACATGGTGGAAGGAGAGAACAGACTCCCGCAGGTTGTCCTCTGATGTCCGCATACTCACATGTACACTAACACACACAAAACAAAATAAATAAATGTCAACATTTAAAACCCCAGAAAAACAACCAAAAGAACCCCAAACAAAGTAAAACTCACAAAATCCTTTTTCCCCTTCTCAAGATCCCTTCACTTATCTCCCTCCTACTCCTGCTGCTGATCACTCTTCTCAACTAGTCCCCCTCGTGTGTGTGTGTGTGTGTGTGTGTGTGAGAGAGAGAGAGAGAGAGAGAATGTGTGTGTGTGTGAATGTGTGTGTGTGTGTGAGAGAGAGAGAATGTGTGTATGTGAATGTGTGTGTGTGTGTGTGTGTGTGTGAGAGAGAGAGAGAGAGAGACAGAGAGAGAGAGAGAGAATGTGTGTGTGTGTGAATGTGTGTGTGTGTGAGAGAGAGAGAATGTGTGTATGTGAATGTGTGTGTGTGTGTGTGTGAGAGAGAGAGAGAGAGAGAGAGAGACAGAGAGAGAGAGAGAGAGAGAGAGAGAGAGAGAGAGAGAGGGAGAGAGAGAGAGAGAGAGGTTAATTAGGGCTATTCATATAGCATGGGTAGGTTATTTTCTGGAGCATGAACAATTTACTAGAGGCTAAGCAGCCATTAACTGTCAGTAGGTCCTCAGTCAGAGGTGAGGGCCTCCCAAGCCCTTCACCTATCCACGACAGAATGTTGAAGAGCTCCACCTTGTGTAAGTAACCATAGCTACTGTGTACATGATGACAAAAGCCATATCCTATGTAGAAAACAGCATTCATAGCACTCCTCCGCATCTTCCAGATTTTACAGATTTTCCACCTTGTCTTCCACAGTATTTCCTGGGCCTTGAAAGAGTTTAGATAGATGTCCTTTTAAAGGGTGATCACTCAACAGTGCCTTATTCTGACTATTTTGACCAGTTGTGAGTCTCTGCATTCACCATCACACACAGACTCTATGCCCAAGGCCAAGAGTGGCACTAATCTGTGGGTATAGACATAATGATTTAGAAGGCAGCTTAAAGAAACACAAATTTAGCAAATCAATAGTAATAGATTTTCCCTAAGGGCCTGTGATCTCCACAGCCATTGACTTTAAGCCAGGTTGCAGCATCAGACATGAATTCCTTCCAGTGGAGCAGACCTCAAATCCAATCAAAAAATGGTCAGTTATCCTCAAACTAGTTATTAAAATAACTGGAAGGAACTCATGTATGATGGTGTAACCTTGGTTTAAGGTCTACCCTTCGCTAGAAAGGTCATAGATCTTAGAGTCGGACCTATTACTGCCATTTACACAAACCAATATAATTTCTAAATATTTTATAAATATTTATCCTTATTGTCACAATCATCAAAGAAGTTTCTTTTTGCAACAGAGACTATTACAAAGATCCACAACTGGTCAAAATGCAGAGAACAACAGACCATGGGTGTCCAAACCCATATATATATCCAAGATGCACATAACAAATATAGTAATTGTGTTGGTACTATGGATGGCAGATAGGGGCACTTGCTGCCAAGTCTGATGGCCTGAATTTGGTCCCTAGGATCCACATAGTGAAAGTAGGGGGTTGATTTCCCCAGGTTGTCCTCCGACTTCCACACAAGCAGACACACACACACACACACACACACACACACACACACACACACACACACGAGATGGGGGTGTAAATATAAAGGTACCACGGTAATGGTCATAATCTAGGAAATGGAACTTTCCACATAAAGGACATTTGTAGAAAAGTAAATCCGTTTCTATAGAAATACTGAATATCACTGAGACAAGAAACCTCCAAGTCAAATGCCTTCAATTTTTAAGTGGAAGTAGCTGAAGCTTGGTTCCAATTTCCCCTACAAACTCTAATGAATACTAAAACTGACTGGTTGCCAGGAATTGTGCAGAACTAATGGCCATCAAAGAGACAACCATGAACGGTTCTTACTTTTTAGAATTTCACATTGTCGACACAGGTAGACATCTTGATGATGTTCTTTATTTTTATTTTAAATTAACTTTTAAGTTAGCATGCAACATAATGAATTTCATTGGGACTTTTTCTTATGTGTGTGTCATTATACCTTGTTCTTATTTGTCTCTACCTCCCACTTCTTTTAAAAACATTTTTATTAATGTTTTGAGAATTTAAGACAATGTATTTTGTTGTGTGTGTGTGTG